AAGCTTGTGAAAATGGGCCATTGGCATTATAATCTAGGCCGTCCAGTTTTCTGACATCACTACCCCTAAACAGGCGTCCACTGGTGGTGTTTCACCTGCCGAAGCTTCGATGGGCCGGAAATTATGAGCGAAGTTCCATGTACTGCTTCCTACCAACGTGCCGTCCTCGCAGTAAATTCCACCTGTTTCTTGCGGCAAGCTTCTACTCGGAAAACCTATGTTCGTTCGCGACTATCAAACATGGTTCTAGGACTAGATTTAGGAAGCACAATCAACGCAGAGAGGCGTCTACGTTACTGATGATACCTGGGTGTGTCACCAAAATCAGATCCGACTGCAGAAATGCAGTAACCTAACCGAAAATGAATCAGGTAAATCACTAGCTTTCGATGCCTTTGAAATTCTAACAGACCAGCCAGTCCCGGAACCCAATATTTATCAAATTTCACAGCCATTCTTCATCTTATACATTTAAAATTATTCATTATAGCCCCAAAGGTGAATACAAAATGGCGCACTAATGTCAACTGTCATGGACAAACAGAAACATAACATTATCAACACGGCTATAAACGATAATTCGCTTGCCCCCTTGGCAGCAAAAGGCTTAGTAGCTGTCTGCTGAAAATTGTTTTATTCCCACGATGAGGCATCGGACAGAAAGTTGTCTGTGTGAGCTGCCACGCTGCTGCCACAATGGTGCGCACCTTGGCCGTGGATTTCACCCTCTCTACAGGTATGCTTTGTGCATTTCTCCAACGTTTCCTCATCAAGCTGATAAATAAATTAACGCAGCGTTTCTGTGAGACGACTATCTTTTTTTAATACAGTTCTGCTCATGTTCGATTGCCTTTATTCCTCTTCCGTGCTGGCTTTGGGAACAACGGTTGGTCAAGCCTGCAGTTCTTGTTAATTACAAATACCAGGTGCGGTTCATAACACTTTCAAAGATTGATAGATGAAAGTGAAAGTTGTGCGGGCTGTTTTAATATCCCGTAGAGCATCTTTTATCTAGAGGCTTAGATAATGATACATGAATATATTCATCCAGTCAGCCATCCAGTTTCCAGTACGTTCAGCAGGCAAGGCTATGCGTGCCCAATTTCCGCTTCTCTGTCAGAGTGGTCACGCCAGGGAAGGTTATTTCCGCAGATGTCCTGTTGTCACCATCGCTGGAAACCTTTAGAAGAATCTAGACAGATATATGTTCAAAAATCAGCTGGAATCATGAGGAAATTAACTTGGCTCTGGAGACTCATCCCAATTGCTATATTATGTAGCCCCCTTGCCAAATGCTTTAAATTATTGTAAATCACACGCTTTCTATGTACATTGCTTTCAATTTTATTTTGCATATGGGGACTCGAGCTCTTATCAGACTTGCCAAACTTTGCATTTTAAAGAGTTTTAAAGGAAGAGGTAGATGAAGACGATAATGAGCAACAACAGCAGATCATAACAATCCCACCCTGAAGTCTAGAGAAATGGAAGTGGTATGAAATTACTTAACTAGTTCAAGCAACCCTAACACGGATTGGTTGGTCGTTTCTGTGCACCACCCGAAAAGGTTGAGGAATGCACACACGGCTTACTGTAGCTTACCTGATTAAATTTTAATGACGAAGTGGCTGAATTGGATCATTATATAGATTTCGCGTATCCACAGATGGAAAGATTTAGGTGTATGTCAAGGAGGGGGAAAAGTAAAATTCGAAATATATCGCAGCAATAAAGAGTACAAGAAAAGAATAGCTTGGTATAGCCCTCATTTACCCAATTTCTAAAAAAATCGGTAACGTCGGGGCGATACAAACCCATGCCAGCAAGGCTAAGGCTTTGATGCAGACAATACTAACCACCTGAGCTGTGAGACCTCCATCGGAAGCAAATTCTTGCACAGTTATGTCGAATGAAGTATTCAACTCCTCCAAAAGTGCTCTTCTAACTATTATAACATTTTACGATCCGTCTAGATGGGGTGACGACACCAACATGCTAGGTAAGTGATCGAAATAGAGTACGGCGTTGCCGACAAATGTGGTGAAGGGCCACGGGACTCCTATCGAGGTGGGACGGAGACGGCTGCTCGAAATGTTGCGGGGAGAGGGCGTTAGCTATTATTTGTGAAAGGGTCACCGACCTGCACACAAGTGTACCTTTTCCATCACAGATTCCGCCAAAACTAAAGTCCGTCCATTCGAGCAATCCTGTGATTCCGTTGGCGGTTACATGAGAGTAGCAGAGATTTAGTTACGCCCAACATTTCACAATGGACTTGTCGATTTGGGGTGGTACGAAGGAAATAGAGTCCTGTGATAGTGATTGCCTCGTTGTTCTAGTAAGTTTTCTGTTATTAAATCTTAACCTTTCTTTGCGCAGGCCTACTTACGACTTGGAAATTGCCCTATCAACGTATCTGCATACACACTTGACTCAGACACTACAACTCCTCCCTGCCTCGTGCACGGCAGCAATAAAATTACTTCTGTCCCCAAAATTCTAAGCTATCTACGAAGAGAGGTACTTTGTATATTTCTTCGAATTTCATTTTTTTTACCAGAACTATGGTTTAGAATACAGCCTCTCAGACAGCGATTCCTCTATGCTGGAGTCTCTTGTGACATCTATAGAGCGACGGATCACGCCAGCAGTGCAGTGGTTCCTATGGGCTGACCCTAGTGTCTACCAGTCATACACTGCGAAATATTATGGGTCCTTGATGAATTGGTTACGCGGCATTTCTCGGTTAAGACGATGGCGTGGGAGCATACAAATGGATGCTGAAAATTCCCAAATTACTCACTGCACGAAACGGTACAACCGTCCCTCGGATGTAGAGTCATCGGTGAGTTTCCCTTTTTTTTATTAAGTGCGCGATCCTTTTTAAGGATGTGCTGAAATAATGAATCCACACGTCTTTGGCATTCTGAATAGGCGCCTTCGCATTCAATTTTGACTCCTGATCAGTCAGGCGATTTAGTTTGTAACTCTGTAATATTTTTGCGGTTACTATAGCTCCTACAGACTTTTAGAAATTCCTGCTGTTGCGAGTTAACGATCCGTAAATACAGCTGCGCGCTTTGTTATGCGCACGACTAATGAACCCTTAATGAAATGCAGTGGGGGTGCTATTATTTTGTAGTGGGTTCTACACGTCAGCTATAGCAGCCATGCTGCAAATTTAACCGGTATCCTCATTACCTTATATCTTAGATTGTATGTTGCTGCTTTTCATTGAACTCATTCCTCAATGAGAACGCTGTGGTGTCATGTTATGCACAATGCAGGCTTGCACAAGCCACATCACTGAATTGTTTAGCTATACCGCCCAACGGTTTGCTTTTGGAGTCGTTATCACCCAGAATGATAGCAAAATGTGTCCCTCCTATGTCGGAATTTTCCTCTATAGCATGCATGTATTTGCATGGAAAATCGGTTGCGAATGCAAAAATAGAGCGTTGTTGGCTGAAATCCTGTTCACGAGGCGATTAAACTACAATCATTTTATACGGCCTTGTGCATGATCAGCATGTCACACAGGCTTCGGTCCCCCCCCCTTAGTTGCATAATCGGTACCCACTTACCATACTCGGTCTTTGTATCCTCTAGGTAACAAGGGATAGTTCGTACAGAAATTAATCAATGTGGGCTCTTCGGAGCATTTTTGCTGATGAAAATTTAGGTCGTATTGCTAGTTAGTTATAGTTGCCTGGGCTATGCCTGCTGATTTAACTTGACTTCACA